CTGCCTGCAGGACTGGAGCAGATGCGGCTGTAGCTGAAAGCCTAGCTGTGAACAATGGATCATTTGGTATGTTTAGGATGGTAGCTGGGTATATAAGTATGTTTGTTGATGTCATGATCTGGGCTGTGCCACCAAAGGCCTACTAGGCCAAGGGAGCCTGGCTAGCAGTAGGTGAGGCTGGGCCTACAACTCCCAGAAGCCCCTAATCTGAAGTTATGTGTGAGAACAAAATGGCATAGTGTCAGACTCTAGGGTCAGTCCAAGCCAAATTCCAGGGTTAAAGTTCAGTCTAAAGGTCAGTTACTGAGATAGCAGAGTCCAGTTCAGAACATTATACAGGAAGCACGGTCTCACAGTCCAAGGTCATTCAGGAGCACAGAGAGGAAGACTCCAGAGTCAAGAGCCAGTCCAAGGGTCACAGGAGCAGAGTTCAGAACTTAGTGACTTGTTGCTTTCACAGCAAGCAGTCTCCCTTAACTGGCTTTTATAGGCCTCTGCTGGAAGGTCTTACTTGCAGCCAGCTGCTTGGGAGTAACCCTGCAGCTACTCATCAGGTGCGTTCAGATGCGCCATTTGATCTGGTGTCATGACAGTTCAGCAACAGATTTTATATGCACGATCATACAGTCAACATCTGCCTCCCAGAGGTGACATCATCACGCTGGCCACATTGTGGGGGGGGACACTCTGTGAATCGAGGGGAAACTCTAGGGTTTTCCCTCGAGTCACGGTGCCCCGCCCCCAACGTGGGCGACACAATGATGTCACTTTGTGCGCACACAGGGAGACTCCCGAAGGAGCCTGGAATCCCCCCGCTTAGAAGGTAAGTCGACTTGGCAACCCTAGTTCCTGCATACTATCTATGGTACACTGGCTCTGATCAGTAGTTGGCACCTGGACTTTCTGGGCCAATAACTGGAAGACATACAATAAGAAACATCACTCAGCATGTATGCAGTTGACTAAAGTACAAGTCCAGACTCAAGGAGGCCTCACAAACATTATTTTGCCTTGTGTAATCTATTCTTGATTGTTCAACTCCTTTCTTGGTTCTACATCAACTTGTATATTTATTTATTTTATTTTTATTTATTTATTGTTACACTTATATCCCGCCCTCCTCGCGAGCAGGCTCAGGGCAGCTTACAAATAAGGGCAACATGTGCCACATAAAACATCAACCATAGTTAACAATGATAAAGGGCTCAAAGATGTTACCTATTTAATCAGATCAATCGACTCAGATGGTGACCTATAGATGTACCCAAAGCCCGCTTCAATGGCCCTGACCCCATCGCAATACTGTAGCAAGATCTTATACTGGGCCATCCCATCACCCCGTTATTACCACCAGATTATTGGTGGTGGTGGTAGTAGTGGTGGCTCCTAATTAAAAGCCTGGCGGAAGAGCTCCATCTTGCAGGCCCTGCAGCACTTTGAGAAGTCCCGCAGGGCCCTGATCTCCTCTGGGAGCTCGTTCCACCAGGTAGGAGCCACCACTGAAAAGGCCTTGGCCCTGGTTGCCACAAGCCTGGCCTCCCTGGGGCCTGGGATTACTAAGCGATGCTGGGCCCCCAACCGTAGTGCTCTCTGGGGTATGTATGGGAAAAGGCGGTCCCTCAGGTATGTCGGACCCTGGCCATATTGCTTTTGTATATTGTTTTACTATTGTATCATGCGCCTTAATGTACAGATGTTGTTTGACCACTGAAGAAGGCCAATTAGGGCCAAAATATATTGGGTTGCAAAAGTTCCCTTTTGTATACATTGTATTTTTATGCTGGAATGAGGCTACAGGTGGGCCCATAAATGTTTTTAACCATTTGAAAAATAAATACATGTATACACAGAGGCTTTAGTAATTGACCCTATATCGGTTCGTAACTAACCTTTTTGGTTCTTGATTCAATTATTTTGGGTTAAGTATTTTCCCCTTCTTTCTTGTCTTTCTTCGTTGGACTAGATGATCCTGGTGGTCTCTTCCAGCTCTGATATTCAAAGCAGAGCAAGGTCCAAATGGTGGTGTCTCAACTCCTGGTATTTTTAGATCAGGGTTATTATCTAGATCCTTTACAATATGGCTTTTGACTTGGTCATGGTGCAGAGACTACTTGATTACCCTAATGTATGGTGTGCTCCAGTCTATTGCCACAGGGAATATACCCTTGCTGGATCTCTTGGACCTCTTAACAGCTTTCAGTACCATCAGACTTCATATCCTTTGGGATCACCTGTCAAGGATGGGTCTTTATTTTTATTCCAGAAGTCCTTTCAGGAGGAATTTTACCTCAGTCTTCTTCTTGGTTGTTATAGTCTGTTTTGTGGTGGATTTCGGTCATTATGATGTCTTGAGCATATTTTCTAATGGAAAGGTGATATAAAACGTTTATAAGTAAAGGTGCCTTTTAACAGCTGTGCAACATATAGAAATTTAGCAGGTAAAGTTTTTCCAGGCAAGGAGATGCAGTGATGGGGAAAGCTTCCTCGGTTGAATTTCTGACTAGAATGCACCTGTTTATTGACCTGTTGCCTTTCAGGTGAGTGTGAGTTCTGGCAAAATGCCTTATAGAAAGTCAGCATGGCTTGGAGTGGAAGGCAGGAATTGGAAGTGGATTTCATTCTAGCTGGAATGAACCTTGAAGACAGCCTCTGGGGAGCAGCAAATGAACCACAACTGGACTGCTGTGCCCTTAGGAATAGACTCTCATTGTGCAGCTTCCAAGGAATCCAAAAACTAAGCACAGCACAAACATTCCAAAGAGCTTCTGGGTGGGAGCCAGGCTGGCAAGCAAACTGCTGTCAAGGTCCACCTTTCCCATACATTCAGAGGATTCATTCCCAGATGAGCAAAATGTTCTGACCCTCCCTCCTGTCATTACCATGCCTGGAACTCACAGGGATTTCTACTGCTGTGCTCGTGGGAGGGGGAGGCACTTTGTTCCCTTGCCAGGGGAAGGCCCATGACATGCACTAAATAAATAAGGAACAAAACAAAATCCTGAGTGCATTATCATCACTGCAGGAAAGAAAGAGCAACGCACAGCCATCATTAGAAGAAAACCTCCATGTTCCTTCTCGCAGGTCTGCACGTGCCTTGACTTGAAGATACATTTTCTCTGTGTGTGTCTCCGTCTCTCTCTCTCTCTCTGCCTGTTGGAATTCATTCAACTGCCCTGTTGCATTGGAGAAGAGAAAAAAGGTAGATGAACTGGCTGCGCAGTGCTGGCTGCAGATTTCCTTGTGGACAGAGCCCCCTTCAGGAGGAAAGGTAAGGAATTAGAGCTGGGAGGGATTGCAGACCAGATGAGGAGAATGGATAAGGGAATGGAACGGGTCCTATACCAAGCAGAAACAGCAAGCAGGGAGAGGATCAGGAGGAGAGGAAGCCACCCCAAGAAAGAGAGAGGAAGAACTGCCAAGGTACCCAGTGTATGTGTATCCTGCCCTC